TTTTGAATTAATAACTCAAAAAAAAAGTTTTTTTCAATTTACCTTAAATATTCAAAAATTTATCAATCGTATATCTATTAATGCTTGCTCTAAAGCGATTTTTGATTTTTTAATTGACTATAAACATTCAAAATGGGTGTCCTATCATGTAATTGCAGGTAAAACTAGTGAAATTTCTTTAGAATAATTTTCTTGTTGAATACGTTTAAGTTTTGACATTGATTGTGGATGCGATTTAAAATATTTTACTAAATTTTTTGCATTATCCACTGTTATTTTAGTTTCATCTATTTTCAAAATATTGTTAATTAAAAGATTTACTATATGCAAAGTGCAACCAAGACATACTATCTTAGGATACTTTTCTTCAATAATTCTCCATGCTGCTTTCATTACACTTGCTATATCAGTAATGACTGCTGAAAATTTATCAGTCTCAACAATTTCTATTTGTTGAATTATTTTATTTGAAACCCACAAAGCTGTATAAGATTCTTCTCCTGAATACGTTGTATCAAAAAAAATTAGCTCGGGAGTACAAATTATAAAATTTTGTACTGATTCTTGATTAATATTCGACCAACCATCTGAAATAATACACAAGCTTTGTGCATTTGCAATTTTATTATCAATTTCTTTTTTTACTTTTTTGTAAACTTTATCTAATCATTTATTTGCCAATTTTGATCGACTTGGAAATTTAAAAGCAGGACGATTTTTTTAAAAAAATTCAATAACATATGGATTTTCTAAAAAAGAAAATAATATACCCATAGCAAATAATGCTTGGGCTAATGCAAATTCGAGATCTTCTTGTTCCATACTATCAGCAAAATCATTAATGAATGTAGTTCTTGTGCGCTTTTGAGAAAAATTATTAGGTTTATTAAGATTAGATGTTATTAAATTATTGTTGTTAGAAACTAAATTTTCAAAAATTTGAGATGAATTTTTTTTTTTTGTTTTTGCATTATTAGGTGCACCCTAACAATCATTATCCAAATGTGCTTGCATTCGAGTTGCAATTCCACGATCATACGTCTTTGGACAATACATGCATTTTACAGGAGGGTGTGGTTTTTTATCATCATTAGATTCCTGTTGGTTTGATTTATTAGTTTCTTGGTTTGATTCATTTAATTCTAATCGGGTTGATTCATAAATTTCTTCTTGATCAAACCCCTCAGTTGCTAACTGATTTGATTTATTAGTTTCTGGTTGATTCGATTCAAGAGTAATCCAATATTTCCATACAGCACCTTTTGGTTTTTCTATTATTAGATATACGATTGATAAATTTTTGAATATTTAAGGTAAATTGAAAAAAACTTTTTTTTTGAGTTATTAATTCAAAA